AAAAACAGAGTTGCAGGGCATCAAGAGAAAAGTCGGAGGAAAGCGGGGACACCAGGAGTTTGGAAGCAAAGGGCAAAATCACAGCCTCAGGTTTAGATCCTACCATTCACCTTACACCACACACATTTAGTCCTTTGTGCCGGAGGTATTCTGCTAACCACTGTCCTAACAGTAACACTCCATCAGCATAAATTCATTACGCCAATATAATACTATGTTCTGGGAGTACGATTAAATTGGGAGTCAAGTTGGGAGGCCCATGAAGAACTGTGTACGGGGAGGGATAAACAAGAAATCTTCCTTGTAGGGACATTTCAGAGGGACTGGGGAAAGAAAAACCAGAACATAATTTTATTTTATTATAGTCAAGCCTGCATAGATTTACTGGAACCAATTTTGGCAGATAAAAAACTGTTCTCTGAGCAGATTACTCTTAACAATTTACTGGCTGGGGTCGACCAAAGAATCACCATATAAGCAGGAGGGCAACCAAGATGATTACAGGGTTGGAGCACCTTCCCTTGAAGGACTTTTCAGTGTAGAAAAGGGATGACTAAGAGGGGACATAATAGAGGTTTATACATTTAGGCATGGGGTGGAGAATGCTGACAAACAGAAATTTTCCTCCACCTCCCAAAATACTAGAACTTGAGGGCATCCAATGAAGCTGATGGGCAGTAGGTTCAGGACAGACAAAAGGAAATACTACTTTACATAGATTGAACAAAATGTGGAATTCAGTGCCGGAGGATGTAGGGGAATAAACAGCTTTAAAAGGGGATTAGATAGAGGCACTAATCCTCTGAATCCCAGTGCCAGGAGTCAACATCAGGGGAAGGTCTTGGCCTATATGCCCAATTGTCAGCCCTCCAGAAGACCTGGTTGGCCTCAGGCCTGTAGCTAATGTGGAACCCATAGGGCCCAGCCCCCTAGTGTTTCTTCTGGGCCCCCTCCTTCCTGGGCTGCCCCCAAATTGAATTAATGTAATTAACTTTTATTTAATTAGCTGTACCCACCGTGCCCCCCCAAATCCCTAGCTATGGGGCTGGTTGGCCCCTGTGTGAGACAGAATGCTGGACCAGATGGACCATTGGTCTGATCCAGCAGAGCTCTTCTTATGTTCCAATGTTCTTAAGTAGCTAAGCTTTTGTCCTCTGCTACAAAATACAGGCTATTGTGTAGTGGGAAGCCGCGTAAACGAACGACATACGACCATATAGTGCATAGCACACTTTATTGGATACACAACAAAAGGGAAGGGGAAAATGGCCGTCCGGCCAACTATATACAATACCAGGGGACCACCCCTGGGTCCCATTGGCGGGTTATACTATCCCACCTTGGTCCCATTGGTTTCCCCCAGTGGCGAGACTAGTAACCTAGTCCCGTTGTGGTCCTGGACTGAGCTCAGGCGTGTGTGCTGACCTCCGGTGGTGGTCCGTGGACACAACATCCCTCCCCCCATAGTCCGGAACCTCCCCTATGAGACATAGTCTTTGAGGTACGATGGGGACCATCGTACCCTCGCGCATCGTCTGGGGCCCTGTTCTGGGGCCCCCTGGGTCCCGACCTCTGGGGCGGGAGCCTGAGGTGGTGCGGGAGCCTCTGCGGCCACTGTCTCGGTTTCCAGGGGGTCGTCTGCAGTGGCCGGGGGCTGGCTGTCCCGAGGTGTGTCTTCTGGTACGGCCAAGGATCCTCCGGGGGTCCCGACCGGACCCTCCTCTTGCACCGTCCGCGGAGCTCCCACTGACTCGTGTTCGGGAAGCATCCGTCGCCTGAGCTGATCGATGTGCCTCCAGAGGACCTGGCCACAATCCATGGACACCTCATACATGACGGTGCCCGTTGGTCTGATGATGCGGCCCGCGAGCCACTCCGGGCCTCTACTTAAGTTTCGGGCAAGCACGGGTTCCCCGGGGAAGAACCCGCGTGGCGCTTCCCTCTGCTCGGTGGGGTTCCACTGGCTTGGGGCCCGATCAGGGTGTAGGCGGTCCAGCAGGATCGTTGGCCTCCGACCAATCAACAGCTCGGCTGGGCATCGGCCGCTCACCGGGTTGGGTGTTGTCCGTTGCGCTAGGAGGAACTTGGCGATGCAGAACTCCCAATCTCCCTCAGATAGGCGGCTGAGGGCCTCCTTCGCGGTCCGGACCATGCGCTCCGCTTGGCCGTTGGTTGCCGGGTGGAAGGGTGCCGCCCTGATGTGTCGAATCAGGTTGTCGTTGAGGAAGTGCTGGAACTCCTTGGAAGTAAAGGCCGCGCCGTTGTCCGAGACGATGGTGTCCGGCAGGCCGTGGGTTGCGAACATCCTCCGGAGGGCGCGGATGGTTGCCTTGGTAGAAGTAGCGGAGACGGGGCTGATCTCCAACCACTTGGTGTAGGAATCCACCGTCACCAAAAACAACAGTCCATGGAATGGTCCGGCGAAGTCTATGTGGAGCCGAGACCACGGGGTGCGGGTGGATTCCCAAGAGGACGGCGGCGCCCCCGGTGGGCTGGGTCGCACAGCTTGGCAGTCCTGGCACCTCTTCACCCACGCCTCCACCTCTGCGTCAATGCCGAGCCACCAGACGTAGCTCCTGGCTAGTCCTTTCATCCTCACGATGCCCGGGTGGGCCTCGTGCAGGGCTCTCAGGACTCCTTGGCGCAGGGCGCTGGGGACCACGACCCGGTCTCCCCACAGTAGGCAGCCCTTGTGTGCCGACAGTTCGTCTCTCCGGGCCTTGAAAGCAGCGAACTCTGGCCCGTCTACCCTCACGGGCCAGCCCCTCACCACCCAGCCCAGCACCCGGGATATAACGGGGTCTCGGGCCGAGCGCCGGGCGATGTCAGCCGCCTGGAGGGGGGGTCGGGGAGGTCCTCCACCAGGAGGACCCGGTGAGCCGGAGCCGGGTCTTCCACGATGTCGGGCAGAGGGAGGCGGCTCAGGGTGTCCGCGTGGCCCATGGCTTTTCCGGGACAGTGCTCGATGCGGTAGTCGTAGGCCGCCAGGAAGATGGTCCACCGCAGGACACGCGGAGAGATGACTTGGGGCATTCTGCGGTCCGATGCGAACAGGCCGAGGAGCGGGCGGTGGTCGGTGGCGATCGTGAAGGGCCGGCCGTATACGAAGTCGTGGAATTTTTTAACCCCGGCCACGATTGCAAGTCCCTCGCGGTCTATCTGGGCGTAATTCCGCTCTGCCGCAGAAAGAGTACGCGAGTAGTACGCGACCGGGACCTCGCGGCCGTCGGGTAAGCGATGCGCCAACACAACGTGAACGAACGACATACGACCATATAGTGCATAGCACGCTTTATTGGATACACAACAAAAGGGAAGGGGAAAATGGCCGGCCGGCCAACTATATACAATACCAGGGGACCACCCCTGGGTCCCATTGGCGGGTTATACTATCCCACCTTGGTCCCATTGGTTTCCCCCAGTGGCGAGACTAGTAACCTAGTCCCGTTGTGGTCCTGGACTGAGCTCAGGCGTGTGTGCTGACCTCCGGTGGTGGTCCGTGGACACAACACAGGCTAAGATAATGTCCTGTGTATAATTTTCTTTGATAACCTCTAACCCTTTTCACTGCCTCATAAGCTAGGATGAATGATACCTGCTGAGATATGATATTAGGGTAATTAATTAATTAATGTTGTTTGTTCTGTTTTTGTATGGCTTGTGGGCCACAATAAACATTGACTGACTGTTTTGTTTCATTTTATTTCAACCATTTTTGTCCCAACTTTCCATTGGCAAATGGATCCTTGAGGCGGTTTACAATAATTTGGTAATACTTTAAAATACTCTAGAAGTATAAATACTGTATCTATAATTATAGCAACAACCAGCAAGTATATAGCAGACTACCACATCCCAGCAGTTAAGAACAGAGCAAGCCCACAGTCTGATAAACCAGCTCATCAGCACACTTCCACACCCAGTGGTAATCCAAACAATTTATCAAGCAAAGAACGTCTCCTTCAGAAGACCAGCAAAAAACCATTAAGGTTCCTCTGGTTAGCAGCTCAGGGTGGCTGATATGGTTCTACTTCCTCTATTTAATCCTCACAGGTTGGACTGAAATGACTGGTCTGTTGGACCAACAACAGGTTTCCCAGATACTGGCCCAACAAGAGAAGAGAAGAGAAGAGAAGAGAAGAGAAGAGAAGAGAAGAGAAGAGAAGAGAAGAGAAGAGAAGAGAAGAGAAGAGAAGAGGTTTCAGAGTGATTTACAATCCCTTGCCCTTCCTCTCCCCACAACAGACAACCTGTGAGGTAGGTGGAGCTGAGAGAGCTCTGAGAAAACTGGTCTGGAGAGAACAACTCTGAAAGAACTTATAACTGACCCAAGGTCACACCAGCAGCTGCATGTGGAGGAGTGGGGAATCAAACCCGGTTCACCCAGATTAGAGTCCGCGCTCCTAACCACTACACCAAACCACTACACCTCACTTGCTCAAGATGAGACAGTACAATCACTATCAGGGTTGTCCTTAACTATCGTTAACATTCTGGGCCGCCTAGAGAACAAAGAGTGACTTGACGGCAGAGAGAGAGAGAAGAATCATGACATGATTTTTTTTCTGTTACGTAAATAATTGGGATTTGCATTCCTAAGAGTTATAGATTTTCTGTACATCTACAATTATACAACTGGAATAATATTCCCAGTAACAATCCAAACCTGTTGCAGTCAGTGTTCCCTCTAAGCTGTAGAGTCTTGTGAGCAAAAATTCTACTTTTTGAGCTACTAGCACTAAAGTTGTGAGCGAGCGATTTGGCTACTGCATAAATTAGCTTGCTCTGGAGCCATCCCTCCTGAGCTAAGACAAAAATGTGAGAGGCGGAGGCTAAAAAACTGTGAGCTAGCTCACACTAACTCACCTTAGAGGGAACACTGGTTGCAGTGGTCCATAGTCCACAAAAGCTTCTAAATATTTCTGTTTGGTTTCTGACTTGAAATTCATGACAACAGCCTTCTACAGGATCTGGAGTTCTCAGCTGCAGGACAGTTTCTTCTAGTTATTTCCTTCGTTCTCATCATTTTCTACAGAGAGAATCTGTTCATCGTCCTTAGGTGCCGGAGTCACACAAATTAAAACAGAGGGCACTGGGGACTTCACAGCAGTCTTCTCGCTTCTGTGATCATCTGATTTCCTTGAGCCGGCTGGTGAAGTATGACTGGCTGGCGATTTTGGGACAATGGGAGACGAAGTGGCAGCCTGGAGGAGAAAGGCAGTGTGTTGGCAGTGGCAGGAGCCTGGAGCAGTACAAACCTCCTAGGAAAACAGGTGCCAGGGTGGGAGGGGGGCAGCTCAGCTGGCATAGCTCCAGAAGCCTTTCCCCTGAAATCTCTGAGTTTTGGGACTCTCTAGAGCAGGGGTGTCAAACTCATTTCTTATGAGGGCTGGATCTGACATAAATGAGACCTTGTTGAGCCGGGCTATGTGTGTCATGAAATGTAATACAGGTGGCAGAGATATAAACTTTATAAAAGGCACAGACAAACACAATGAAAGATTTTTTGAAACTTAAAATAAAATGTGCTTAAAACATTAGCACTCTTGCAATATTTTGTTTATTTAACAGTGTCTGATAACTGAGACCTCTTGCTCTGATTTATTGCATCAGACTATAGAGACAATGTCTGTGCTGTGTATCTGTAAGCTGCAAACCTACTTTTGATCTATTGACATTCATTACAGAAATCTCATGGTCAATGCTCTGAGCCAAAGACCCAAGGGAAAACATGAAATGGCTGAGCATTGTGAACTTTTGTATATAAGTTGCTTTGTGTGCTGGTCAAGAACATGTAAAGGCACCATGACACAGACTAAGGGCTATGTGTTTGTCTACAAAACTATAGTCTTCCCCAGAGAAATAACTGCAACTCCTATGAGCCAGTGCAGGAACAGAGAGGCAGCAATGTATAGTGGTCAGTATCAGCCTACTATCTGGGAAGGCTAAGTTCAAAACCCCCAGTCTACATAAGAAATGTACTGGGTGAACTTGGTCTGGACCAGGTGTGGCCAAATTTGCTTAACATAAGAACCACAATGTCAGATGTTTGAGAGCCACAAAACATGAACAAGTATTATACACACATTTTATTGGAAAATATGCAAATTTGCTTTTTATTAACATTAAGTGAGACTGCCAAAAATAAAAATGAAAGGTAAAAACAGATATTGATAATGATATTTATTTGTCCAATGATACTTATTTGTTGCTAATTATATTTATTTGTCTAAAAGAGAGAGAAAGAGAGAGAGACATGGAAAGAAAGCAACTTTAACTTTAAATGTGTTCTCCAAGCCCCACCCCACCCCCCCACACACCCCCAAGCCTTGGCTTGGAGAAAGGATTTAAAGAGACAAATGCCTTCCCCAAGTTGACCAGTGAAGGAGGGGGGCTTTGGGAATGTATTTAAAGTTAAAGTTGCTTTCTTTCTCTGCTCCCCGCCCCCCCACCTCAACCCTACCCAGGGAGGGGAACACTGGCTGGGGAAGGGAAGACCAATCGGGGAGGCATGCCGCCCCTTCACTTCCCCAGCCGCCCTGCAGGGGAGCCACACAATATGCGTGAAAGAGCCGCATGTGGCCACCACAGTTTGGCCACCCCTGGTCTGGGCACACACTCTCAACCTAATCCACCTCACTGGCTTGTTGTTATTCCTCATTTAAATAGTTCACATGACTAGATCATGAGGGCATGAATACAGTGAAAAAGAGGAGGGGAACCCAATTGCACCCAGGAGAGCCACAGCATAACGAGCCCAACAAAACTCTCTCTCTCTCTCTCTCCCTCTCCCTCTCCCTCTCTCTCCCTCTCTGTAGCAAGACATAAAGCTCATACTTTGAATAAAACCCCAGGGGATGAGGAAGGGAAGGAGCCTCAGTCAATGAAGGGAAGAGAGGCTATGCTCTGTAACTCCTGTGTGATTGAGAGAGCCTGGCAAAGCAAGCTGTGGTGCAGAAGGAAGAAAGAGAGAGGGAGGAGAAGGAAGCAGTTGCTTTTTTGTAGCCATTTTGTAGTTGTGCCCACTCTCCATGCTCAAAATCTCCAAAGGGGCCAAATCTCCAAAGAAACTAGGGGGGCAGCAGCAGCCCTTTGTGTGTACCTGCAGTGCCTTCAGTTCTTTCAGTTTCCATCGGATGTGAGCCAACCGTCCCTTGCCCCCCATCCTCCCTGCCGCTACAAGGGCTGCTTGAAAGAGCTTCGGTGTCCCGGCTCTTGGAGGAATGATCAACACATCTTTTGGCATCCCTTTTTCTTCTTTGGGTTTACTGTTGTTCTTCAGCATTCTCCTAGAACAGAAAGGAAAACCAATTGTGCCCACAAGCACTTAAATGCCACAAGCATTCACAGGACCTGTCAAACCAGTCTTGTATTGCTGCACAAATGAAACTGCCTAATATGGAACCAGACCATTGGTCCATCAGGGTCAGTATTGTCTAATTGAACTGGCAGCTCATCTCCAGGATCTCAGGCAGAGGCCTTTCACATCACCTACTGTCTGGTCCTTTTAACTGGAGATGCTGGGGATTGAACCTGGGACCTTCTGCATGGCAAGCAGATGCTCTACCACTGAGCCACAGTGTGGCATAGTGGTTAAGAAAGACAGACTCTAATCTGGAGAACCAGGTTTGATTTCCCACTCCTCCACGAGAAGCCAGCTGGGTGACCTTGGGTCAGTCACAGCCCTTTCAGAGCTCTCTCAGCCCAAAAAATGTCTAGCTCACCCCCTAGTGGAACTTTAAGAAATTAAGAAAAGGATTTTGAGAAATTAAGAAAAGGGATTTTGGGAGGAGTAAGTAGCCTTGCACAATTTTACAATCAGTCTAACTCTGCTGCCAGCATCAGACTGCAAACTTATCAGGAGATCAAGCGTGATGTAGTGGTTAGAGTGTTGGACTTACATCTGGGAAGCCCAGGTTCAAACCCTGACATTGCCACAGAGGTTTATTGGGTGACCTCGGGCCAGTCACACACTCTCAGCCTAACCTGCTCCACAGGGTTGTTGTGAGAATAAAATGGAGAAAGGAAAGCAATGTTATGAGATGCCTTGGGTCCTCAGGGGAAAGAGAAACACCCTGACCTGATCTTGGCAGGTCTCAGAAGCTAAGCAGGGCCTGCCCTGGCTAGTATTTGGATGGGTGACCTCCAAGGAATACCAGGGTCATGATTCAGAGGCAGGAGATGGCATTAAACATCCCTTGCCTTCAAGCCGCAGTAAGGGTTGCCAGAAGTCAGCTTGACTTGATAGCCAAAAAACCCCCTCTGACATATAAACATCCAAATAAATAAATAAATAAAAAGCAATAGTGGCACCAGGATCCAGGGTGAGAACCACATTTCACCAACAACTCGAACTTGTGGTTTGAGTGTTGGCAAAGTGAGATCTCCCAGCAACAGCCTTGCTAATGCAGGGGAAATTGTCCTGTCGTCGGGACCCTCAAACACACAGCAACTCCGCATCCTCACCTGGCCTTTTTCCGCAGCAGCTTCTGAGACTCTGGGTAATGCACCAAAATTTCATTTAGATCTTTCTTATCCAAAATGAAAAGATTCGTGAATCCATGAGCCACAACATTGGCCGTGCGGCGATTTCCACCTCCTAAAGCCAGTAAGCTAATAAAAAGAGCAAAGGAAAAACAACAACAACCCACAAACTTTTCACCAGAGGGTGCAATATGGTAAATATGAGAATATGTTTCCAGCATTGCCAGAGACCATTGGCTGGCAACAAGCAAATCTCAGCGTCCAAGAAGTCCAACATTCTTTAACTCATTAGGAAGACAACATGTTGGGAGCAGTGTTCCCTCTAAGCTGAGTTAGTGTGAGTTAGTGTTCCCTCTAAGCTGAGTTAGCTCACAGTTTTTTAGCCTCCGGCTCATACATTTTTTGTCTTAGCTCAGGAAGGATGACTCCAGAGCAAACTAATTTATGCAGTAGCCAAATCAATCACGAGACTCCACAGGTTAGAGGGAGCATTGGTTGGGACTGCTTCTACACATCACCAGGTAGTGCACTACAGCAACCCTTTGCAACTGGATTATCCTGTGGACACAGGCCAATCCAGTTGCAAAGGATGGGTATATAGCACAACAATAATGGGGTATATGTGAATGCACCCATAGTTGGCTCTTTCATCCAGTACGAACTATGGGTGGTTGATGTTCTTCCACTGGTGGAGCTGGTGTTAACCAGAAGCAGCTTCAGCCCAGACAGGTCCTGAGAAGTCAAACAAGGACTTCTTGGTTAAAAAGGGGATTGAGAGTGGACTTCAGGTATGATCATCCTTCCCCTTTTCCAGCTTGTCCCTCCCTCGCTGTGATATTGCATCCTACTCCACAAACTACTGATGGAAAGAGCCAGTTTGGTGTAGTGGTTAAGTGCACGGACTCTAATCGGGGAGAACCGGGTTTGGTTCCCCACTCCTCCACTTGCACCTGCTGGATGACCTTGGGCAAGCCGTAGCTCTGATAAGAGCTGTCCTTGAAAAAGAGCAGTTTCTGTCAGAGCTCTCTCAGCCCCACCTACCTCACAGGGTGTCTGTTGTGGGGAGGGGAAGGGAAAGGAGTCTGTAAGCCGCTCTGAGACTCCTTTGGGTAGTGATGGGCGGGGTATAAATCCAATCTCCTCCTCCTCCTCTCCCAGAGGCTACTGAAGTAGATTTTGAACTATTGATAACTTACTCTAGAAGATTTATGTTTTTCTAGTGTCAAGTGATCAACCAACCAATACTCTCCTGGTCCCCAAATCCTTATATAATCATGGTATGTTTATGAACGGAGTGTTGTCCCTGGTATGGTAGTAGCCACTGTAACTGGAATTTTTGTTTTTTGTTTTTTTGCTGTCAAGTCACAGCCAACTTATGGAGATCCCATAAGGTTTTCAAGGCAAGAGACGTTCAGAGATGATTTGCCATTGCCTGTCTCTGAGTAGCAACCCTGGACTTCCTTGGTGGTCTCCCAACTAAGTACTAAGCACGGCCGACTCTGCTCAGCTTCTGAGATCTGATGAGACTGGGCTAGCCGCCTGGGCTATTGATGTCACAATGTAACTGGATTGCCGGGTAAGAAATGTGTGTGAAAGAATGAAGGTGTGCCTGAGTTTTTTCTATTGCACTTCACACTTGTAACATCAACTGTTCCCACCAATAGAGAATATTGTACAAGAGGGACTGGAAGAATATTGCCCTAAAGATAAAATGTAAATGGGGAGCGATTGATGGATTATTGTGTGGAAAGTCTCTTAGCATTTGTGTCAGATACATGAATCCTGTCTTCTGGAGTACTCCTAAAAGGGCTTCATGTGTATTTCTTGTGTCTTGTGTCTTTTAAAAAGAGGTTGATCATGTGAGCTTATCTTGAGTTGATTTTCACAGAAAAAGTGGAAAGCTTAGCTAATATCATTTTCCCACCAGTAAAGCCTTTTTTCTTTTGAAGAAAAATACCCCATCCTCATTTTAGGTAATAAATAAGCCACACTAGAGGACAGCCCATTAATAATCTGGGCCTGTCTCTTCTCCTTCCTGATGTCACACCAGCTTGCTCTCTACAAGCTACCAAGGTGATTTACCAGGCAATCATACAAGGACCCTGACCTGGATATCTTGGCAGAGTTTAGATGTGTAGTAATGCGGAGCATAAGCTGTTTAAAGAATAAAGTTGGTTTATTAAGAAGAGAACAAACTTTGTGAGAAAGAGAAGTCTAACTGTCTAACTAGCTAGGAGAGAGTCAGTAACTAACTGTTCTCAGTAGAAGCGGGAAAGAGCCCTAACTGAGCCAATCAGGAGACTATTTGAAAATAGTGGTAAGTCCCTAATTTCACTATGCTAACTAGTTGTCCCCTCTGCTGCCCCCTGCAGGATGTTCATGTCTTTTTCTTTATCAATGCACAATAGACCTTGCATATTCGACCGGGATAGCACAGGATAGCCTAATCTTGTAAAATCTCAGAAGCTAAGCAAGGTCGGCTGTGGTTAGTACCTGGATGGGAGACCACAAAGGAATGCTAGAGTTGCTATGCAAAGACAGGCAATAGCAAACTACCTCTGTTAGTCTCTTGCCTTGAAAACTCACATAAGTCAGCTGCGACTTGACAGGGGGGAAATCAAACAAAGACAGGGAGACCCAGGATCAAATTTCCATCTGGCCATGATGCTTCCTAGTTAAACTTGGGCCACTAATCAGGCCAGATGATACATGTGACAGGGCTTGATTTGCAGACACTCGTGATGCTGGGGAATTAACATTCTCAAACATACCAGGGACCTATTTGGCTCAGGAGTACAACACAGGGGAAGGAGGGGCTTCAGCCTTCCCTTCCACCCCATTTTCCTGAGCCAAAACATCCATGGGAGGGCCAGTTTTTCCTGCTGTGGGGCTCCATTTGGTGCATTTGGGTTCAAACCTCACACTCAACCAAGGAAGCCTGTCAGGTAGGGATAGGCATAAACCAGTTCATGATCCAAAATTCGGCACGAACATGGCCCAATTTGGAGCCTTCAAACTGATGTTTGGGGAAGGCGCCTTCCCTGAACATTTACCGAACTTTTGTCCAGTTTGATTTGGCTGTTCAGGCTATTTAAACCTAACAGCTGAGCAGTGCAGGTCTGCAGCTGACCTGTTAGGTTTAAATGGCTGCAAGTCATTTCATTGGTTGGTTTCACTTCCCCTGACTTCCAAGCAGGGGGAAGCAAAACAGACCAGTTAAATGGCTGTCAGCCATTTCAGCCTAACAGCTGACGGGCATACCTTCCCCTAACAGCTGGGCGGGTCTGTCCGTCAGCTGTTAGGTTTAAATGGCTGTGAGCCATTAAACCCATCAGTTTTGAAGTAGGGGGAAGCAAAATGGATGGGTTAAACAGCTGCCAGCTATTTAACCCTTCCTAGGTGATCTCCCCTTTCTCCCAGCTGTGGCCAGGGGAAAGGGGGATCTGAACTGGCCAGTTCAGTTCAGGGCAGTTTTGGTTTGGTTCGGGGTTCAGTTCAGGGGCCGCTTCAAATCCCAAACCAAACTGGACATTTTAGGTTCATTCCCATCCATACTGTCAGGTAATCCATACTGGACTCGTTATAATCTCTCACCCTAACCTACTTCACAGGGTTGGTGTTGTGAGGATTAAGTGGAGGAGGAGATAATGATGTGAAAAGTTCCTTTGAGTCCTCAGTTGGGGAGAAAAGCAGGATATGAATTTTAAAAATAAAGTATAAGTAAGTTCCTGGACACACAATACTGCCTTATACTGAATTAGACCATTGGTCCATCAAGGTCAGAACTGTCTACTCAGACCGGAAGTGGCTCTTCAGAGACCTACTACTTGATCATCATCTACTACTTGATCCTTTTCAATTGGAGATGCTGGGGATTGAACTTGAGACTTTCTGCAAGCAAAGCAGAGGCTCTACCACTGAGGCACAGCCCCTCCCTGACACCACATATGTCTGTAAGTTGTGTCAGGGCGTCTGCCCAGAGTCAGAGTCATGTCACACATCATCTAGTTTGGTCATTCTCAAAACTGCCAAGAGTGACCTACTAGGCCCCTCACATATGACCCAAACATCATGCAAAAACAAGTCACATGATCTCCCTGGCTTTCCTTAGTCCCCTCCTGTCCAGCAACCCTGTTCTGCCTAAACTATCCCACAGAGTTGTTGTGAAGGTCATATGGAGGAGGGGACTGGGACGGATCTCAGTGTTAGTAGTAAAATCTTTTTTTGGTCTGAAGAAGGGCAGAACAGGAAACACGACACATTTTGTCTCTGTGTGGCTGACCTTATTTCTCCAAATACCGATCCAGCTTTCAAGGTCACAAGGATGGTCTTCCCATCAGGTCCTCCCAGTACCTGGACTTGCCCAGCTTGAATGATGTACATCTCTCGGCCAATTTCTCCCTGAAACCAAAACACAAGAGCTGTAGCAAGGGTTAAGTAAGTGAGGTACTTGCCTTGGGTGCACAAAGCTGAGGGGCACAGAGAAAATATATAATGACTGAAATAAATACTGTGTTATTTTACTACTCTTGTTATTTATATATTTACCCTTTTTACCAAAATAACTACTATGAAAGTATATGGGGCACAATTATAAATTCTTGCCTCGGGCACAAAACTAGCTAGTTATGGTTTTGCCCAAACAGGTTGTGACTGGTGCAGCCTGGTGGGTCATTCTGCCCTCCAAGCTAGTTTTCAATGTGACGTTATTTACTTTCATCAGATCAGAGGGAGACAAAGACCTTTCCAGCTAGGAGGCTGATTTGGTTTACTTTTTCTCTTTAATAGTTATAACCTGCATGTCTGCAACAGACATGCATATATGGAGTAGTGGTCCATCAGGGGCTATTAGCCACAAGGTATAGATGGAACACTATGTCTGGGGCAGTGATGCTGTGTATTCTTGGTGCTTGAGGAGGGGCAACAGTGGGAGGGCTTCTGGAATTCGGGCCCTGCTGGTGAACCTCCTGATGGCACTTGGATTCTGGTCGCTGTGTGACACAGAGTGTTGGACTGGATGGGCCACTGGCCTCATCCAACATGGCTCCTCTTATGTTCTTATGTTTTTATGTCTATTCCAGACAGCACCCACAGGCTGAATGTGATGATGTCATGAATGGACACAGCCAGTCAGATTAGCCGATGGGATGATGTCGGTGAAGGCGAAGGAAATGACATTATCCATGTTTTCTTTATTTTTTCCAGTCACTGTTGTTGTGTTTGAGGAGCATAAACATTTGGATTGTTAAAAAATAATCTGTCAATCTGCCACAGACCTTTTTGCACCTTTTCAAGTCCCTTAAGAAAATAATCTAAAATTGGGTGTGTGTGTCACATTTCAACATTTTTGTGAAATCTGAATCAGTGTCACATTTCATTCCATGAACATTACGGGGTTTATTACCTTCTTGCATACGTAGTCATTTGGCAAGTAAACAACAGATCTGAGCCTCTTTAACATGTCAAAAATCATTTGCCGGTCACAACCCTAAACCAAAATAAAGGAGGAATTATTTGGTATCTGCAAATGTTCCAAGGATTTATGTAATTTATTGCCTGAGGGAACAGACAGGGTACCTGAAAGAGTGGCACTTTGCTCACTATGTCATAGTTCACGTCGATGGCGATGTCCAGCCGCATCATCTCCGGTAATTGCTTCAGCAGCTCTGCTTCATCTGTAGAATGAAACATTGAACAAAGAACTCATCTGCCCTGAAGAAAAACATTAATGCAGACTGAGGTACTGAATTTGTGGCAGACACATCGGTAAAAGTCATTCCCATTTTATCATCATCAGATGTTGTGGAAGAATATGTCACACCCTTGCAAATTGCAGAATCTGGGGTGCGATTGTCTTAAAAAGCAAATATCTCTAAGCAAGCTGTCTGATGTCTGAGATCCACATCTTTATTTTAAAAAAAACACTCACACACAGGCAAATTTATAGCTCTCAGAGCATTTCCACACATGATGCTTAAAGCAAGTGTAAAATTCATGCTGGTTAGAACAAACCACTGAGTTGTTTGTTTGTTTTTTTAAAAAATGGCTTCCTTCTGCTTGCCCTCCTGCATTAATAACATTCACACAACAGTGGAGGGGCTACACAGCACCTCATGGGTCGTGTGTAAAAATGAACCCGTCCAGAGTATGCCTTGGCAGCAAGGGATGTTTTATTCATTTAATATATTGGCATTCCACTTCTCTCCTTAAGAGTCAAGGAGGCTAATGACAAGCGAGCTGCAAGGACACATAACAGTCCATCAACAAGACAGAAAGAATGCACAAACTAAGAATGTAGCCAAATCTGCAGAAACAGGTGCTCCTGTGAAATGAGATTGTCTTTCATGCCTCCTACAGTGCAGCAAGTCACCATCTAGGGTTGCCAGCTCTGGGCCGAGAAATACCTGGAGATCATAGAATCATAGGATGTTAGAGTTGGAAGGGACCCTGCAGGTCATCTAGTCCAACCCCCTGCACTCTGCAGGAGCATAGCCGAAAGAGAGCCCTACAACATACCCAAAAGATAGTCGTCCAGCCTCCGCTTGAAAATGTCCAGCGAAGGAGCATCCACCACCTCCCGAAGCAGTCTGTTCCACTGCTCAACCACTCTTACAGTTAGGAAGTTTCTCCTGATCTTTAGCCGGTAACGACTCCCTTGTGATTTCCACCCATTAGATCTAGTCTTGCAATCCGGAGCAAGAGATCCACGCCATCGTCTACATGACAGCCCTTCAGATACTTGAAGACTGCAATCATGTCCCCTCTAAGCCTTCTCTTTCCCAGGCTAAACATAACATGTGGGAGGGGGGTGGAGCCTGGGGAGGGAGGGGTTTGGCAAGGGGAGAGACGTCATCAGGGTATAATGCCATAGAGTTCACCTTCCAGACCAGCCATTTTTTCCAGGGGAAACGATTTCTGCAGTCTGGAGATCAACTGTAATACTGAGAGATCTCTGGGTCCCACCTAGGGCTGAGGACCCTCCACATCTGTTCTAGCCATTCAGAGGGCTAGAAGTATCACAAAGGCAGCCTGGGACACACACACCCCCGCAAGGCACTTGATGCTCTTCCAGGACTTCTGAACGCCCTCCAAATTGTAATATATATTGTGATTGCTAACTGTTTAAATTAATTTAGTGAGTTAGGAATTAATATATATATATATATTAAAAAGAGGGTGGGTGGGTATTTGATTGACCTTTATTTATTTATTTATTTACTATTGGCAATCAATTCGGATTTTTTGTGGTAGGATAGGTTAGGGGAACTTTAGTAATAGCAGTATCATATGTTGCATTTATTGTTTCTATTAACTGAGCAATACATTGAGCACTCTGCTGCCTGCTCAGCCGGCAGTCTGAAGCTTGCTGTTAAGTCGCTCGCTTAACAAAGTAGTCAGAGAGTGATTCAGCAAAGATTCAGCTTTATTCCACAACTCGAACACAACTCCAACACAGATCAACATCTGATAGCCAGAACAGCTTTTACATTGCAGCTGTCCTGCTTTTAAACTCTCCCAGCTAATGTAGCCACGCCTACTGTACAATTACCAACCAATAAGGTTGTATGCGTAAGGACCAATCACGGATGTTCCCGCTCAGGGAGCTTGCTGACAAGTGATTGGTTGGTTCTTCCTGGACTAGCAATGCAATTGGATGGATTTGGATCCTAGCCCAGGACGAAGCTTAACATGGCAAGTCAATTATGTTGTTCACATACAGTTATGCATTCAATGGCAGCTATTGAATACATTACACTTGCGGAGACTGCCGAGGGCAATGATGTTGGGCCAGGGAATTCCGGTGCTCCTGGGGAGGGGGAAGTATAGCGGTGGGAGCACGCAGAGTAGTATTGGAAGGGGGCGGAGAAACAGGAAAGCTCGGCCCCCTTCCAGCCTGCGTCCCATCCCAAGGGATGTTGGCAGTGGGGTTAGGAAGTATAACTCCCCTCCAACATTGGTGTTGTGCAACGCCAGGTCTATAAATAATAAGACCATGGTCCTTAGGGACTTTCTGCAAGAATGCAGACCTGGCGTGTGTGACCGAGACCTGGGTGTGGGAGGGAGAGACAGTAGCTCTCTCCCAACTTGCCCCGCCTGGATTCTCGGTCCTTCACCAATCACGGACTAGGGGGTGGGGGGGAGTGGCACTATTCATCTGGGAGGCTTACTCCTTTAGGGCGCTTCCGCCTCCGAGGATCACGGGCATCGAGTGTGCTGGCATGGTTTGGGAGGCCGGGGTGTACCGACCGCCTAACGCGCCAGCCAATAGGTTGCCATCCCTGATAGAGGCCATAGCAGGCTGGGCATTGGAACACTTGCGACTGATCATCCTGGGCGACTTCAATGTCCATGCTGATGACGCGACCTCTACTCAGTCAGCAGACCTGGTGTCGTCCATGGCGGCACTGGGACTCTCCCAATAAGTAATGACCCCCACTCACCATGCTGGGTACATGCTGGATTTGATCTTTGCGGTGGGGGTAACAGTGGACCGGGTTACTGCTTCGACAGTTCCATGGTCGGACCACCATGCCCTGAGGGCCCGCCTGAATGTCTCACCCCAACCCTGTTTAGGTGGCGAGCGTATTTTGGCTCGCCCGCGGAGCCAGATGGACCCAGTGCGACTCCAGATGGCTCTGCGGGAACCGATACCCCCTGGTGGCTCGGTAGATGACCTTGTGGAGGACTGGCAAGCCGGCTGTCCGCAGCTATTGACGAGATCACTCCAGGGCGCCCTCTACGCCCCCGCACTAGGCTGGCTCCCTGGTATACCCAGGAGTTGCGGCTTATGAAGCGGGAGCTCAGACGGCTAGAGAGACGGTGGCGCCAAGCTTGAGACGAAGGAACAAGAGCATCTTATAGGACGGTTATGAAAGCCTATGAGATGGCAGTCAAAGCCGCAAAGAACGATTTCTACGCGGCAGAGATTGTGTCTGCTAGCTCTCGCCCAGCCCAATTATTTAGGACGATTCAGTCAACTACAGCTCTGCCACAGGGCAGACCAAATGATAGGAAATTGGATATTGGCTGTGAGGCATTTGTGAGCTATTTTGTGGATAAAGTCTTGGTGCTTCGCCGCGACCTTCCCGCCACATTTGAACCAGTGAGAGAGCTTGAGGCCCATTGCATGTCTTCGGTTTCGACCTTGGATCGTTTTCAGCCCTCTCAGTCTGGAGGAAGCCGACAGACTGCTCGCAGCTGTGCGCCCAACCACTTGCAGCCTTGACCCGTGCCCTTCATGGCTTATTAAATCTGGCCAAGAGAGGTTTCGAGGAGCCCTGAGAGAGATTATCAACAAGTCCCTCTTAGAGGGGCAGTTCCCTGGGGCACTCAAGGAAGCGATGGTCCGCCCTCTCCTGAAAAAACCTTCTCTAGACCCAGCTGAATTGGCCAACTATTGGCCGGTCTCTAATTTGCCCTATTTGGGCAAATTAATTGAGAGGGCGGTGGTGACACAGCTGCAGGGCTTTCTGGATGACGCTTCCGTGCTTGACCCCTTCCAGTGTGGCTTTCGCCCGGGACACGGGACGGAGACGGCTTTGGTCGCTCTGACTGACGACCTCCGGAGGCATCTGGATCAAGGCAGGTCGGCGGTACTGTTGTTGTTAGATCTGTCAGCCGCGTTTGACACGGTCGACCACCAGTTACTAGTCTACAGCCTCACCGACGTGGGGATTCAGGGACTTGCCTTACAATGGCTTGCTTCTTTTCTCCAAGGTCGGGGACAAAGGGTGGCATTAGGGCAACAGCAGTCCAGGAGACACCCGCTTGACTGCGGTGTGCCCCAAGGGGCTGTGCTGTCCCCGATGTTATTTAACATCTATATGCGCCCCCTTGCCCAGATTGCCCGGAGGTATGGGCTGGGGTGCCATCAGTATGCTGATGACACCCAGTTCTATCTGATGTTGGGCGGCCAGTCAGGCTCCAGACTGGAAGACCTGGACGGGGCTTTACAGGCTGTGGCTGGTTGGTTTAGACTGAGTCGGCTGAAGCTGAATCCAGCGAAAACAGAGGTCCTGTGCCTGAGTCGGGGCGGCTCGGCGGTGGGCCCATGGAGGCCCAGGTAGTGGCCACTGCCAAGTCGGCCTTTTACCATCTTAGGCTGATTAGGCAGTTGGTTCCCTTCCTTGACTGCACTGACCTGGCAACAGTGATCCATGCGATGGTTACCTCGAGACTAGACTACTGTAATGCTCTCTACATGGGGCTGCCCTTGTTGCGGATCCGGAAGCTGCAGCTGGTGCAGAATGCCACAGCCAGGCTGTTGATGGGTCTCCCTAGACGGGAGCACATCCAGCCTGTGCTGATGACACTGCACTGGCTGCCAATAGCGTACCGAATCCGCTTCAAGGTGCTAGTTCTTACCTTTAAAGCCCTATATGGCCAGGGTCTGACATACCTGAGGGACCGCCTTTCCCCGTATATACCCCAGAGAGCACTACGGTCTGGGTCTCAAAATCGGCTGACCCTCCCTGGCCCGAGGGAGGCCAAGCTAGCTATCACCAGGGCCTGAGCCTTTTCAGTGGCGGCCCCTACCTGGTGGAGATCAGGGCCCTGCTGGACCTTTTGCAGTTCCGCAGGGCCTGTAAGATGGAGCTCTTCCACCAGGCATTTAATTAGGGGCCGCCGCTACTGCAGGCCATTACTGCAGGCCCCTATTGCAGGCCATTACTGCAGAGCTTGGTCTGTGGTTTTAACATCTGATTATGAGCAGAAACAACATCATGGATCATCTGGGCAGTGGAAATTTACTCTAGCCGCCAGCACTTTGTATTTATAATGTTTTTATTGTATGGTTAAATATTGTGTAATTTTAATGTATTTATGCTTTTATGGAAGCCACCCTGAGCCCCCTTGCAGGGAGGGTGGGGTATAAATTTGATAATAAATAAATAATTCTTATTTTAAAACATAGGGCTAGGGTTTTTAATGATTTTGTTAATTTGAATTATTTTTATGGTGTTCTTATGACTTTTGTCGTGTTTTCTTTTATGAGCTGCCTACAGCAGGTTCTCTCTATACAGGAGGCATATAAATTTTCTAAATGAACATCCCTCCTTTCCTAAGAGATCAAAGAACACACAGATAAACATGCACCATATAAAATCCATCAGTTCAGAAACAGAACTCCCAGCCCACGATTACAAAATTCAAATATAGATAAATCATCACAAAAATGCCCTCCGAAAGAGAAACATTTCAAGGCCCGCCCAAAGAACAACAGCAATAGGCTGCGATGGTTCTCCACAGGAAGTTCATTCCACAATACAAGATCTAGCACAGAAGGTCACGAAAGTGGGCAACCACAAAGTAGGCCACGCTCAGAGATGGCACAGCCAGCAGGTTTTCGTCTGAAGAGCACAGCTGGTGCATAGACACATTTAGAGAGGCAATCGTGCAAGGTCGCAGTTCTGCAAAGCACATAGCCAAACACTATTCCAAAATCCAAAGTGCACCATAAGAACATGCCAATGTTGGATCAGGCCAAAGGCCCATCCAGTCCAACACTCTGTGTCACACAGTGGCCAGAAATACCAGGTGCCATCAGGAGGTCCACCAGTGGGGGCAGGACATTAGAAGCCCTCCCACTGTTGACCCCCCCCCAAGCACCAAGATGACAGAGCATCACTTGCCCCAGAGACCCTATCTATACCTTGTGGCTAATAGCCACTGACGGACCTCTGCTCCATATGCTTATCTAATTCCCTTTTGAAGCCGTCCATGCTTGTAGCCACCCCCACTTCCTGTGGCAGTGAATTCCAAGTGTTAATCACTCTTTGTGTGAAGAAGTACTTCCTTTTATCCGTTCTAACCCGACCGCTCAGCAATTTCATGGAGTGCCCACGAGTTCTTGTATTGTGAGAGAGGGAGAAAAGTACCTCTTTCTTACCAGTGGAAGATATTCAAAACAGGAAGGTCTGTCTTACCCAGCATGCCTTGAGAGTGCCAAGTGAATTCATACCACGTTTTGACCCTATTCTGGACAGAGCGGGGGATTTTGTAGAAAGTCATGTACTTCACTGTGTTATCCATACAGCTCCGATAGTATGTTTGTCCAGCGGTAGCAGCACCCACGACATCTCGCATCTGTGATCGAGACGAAAAAGAACAAACCCAAGGGATCCTTTTATTTAGCAGGACCTACTCTCGTGAGCTAGCTAATGGGAATTAAAATTGCTGGGGCAGTTCAGCAGCAGAGCATCTGCTTGGCATGCTGAAGGTTCCAGGTTCAATCCCTGGCGTGTCCAGTTAGCAGGAGAAGTCGGAGGTGGTGTGGAACACCTCGAGCAGAGACCCCAGAGAGCTGCTGCTGGTCAGAACAGATCCTGACACCAACTGACCAATGATCAGACTCACCATAACACAGCTTCTTGTGTTTAGATAGATAAATATGCTATGAAACACCACGTACCGCATGCACTGCGGCAAAAGATATTATCCTCTTCTTCCCCTCACCTGGTCAATGAGTATTTTGACATCAGCAATTTCTCTCCTGACTGACAGCCTATGTTCAGCCCACTCTCAGCCACCCACCACCACTGTCATTCCTGTTGGAGAAGCGACAGCCAGCTAACACACTTAATAATCCACTTTCAATCCACTTTCAATCCACTTTCCAACTGGATTTTTACTGTGTGGACTGGCAAAATCCACTTTGAAAGTGCATTGAAAGTGGATTGAAAGTGGATTATTTAGTGTGTGTGACCGCATGACTGATAGGTCGAATCTGCATTTGTCTTTCCCACTGGTGTCCCAGCCTTCTGACTCAGTCTTCAAAAAAACTGTCTACATTTGCTTTCGTTTCCACACTTCAACTGAGTATACTTTTGCATGTCTGCATATGTTTATCGCCCTCTTGTGGTGGCTTCATTGTAATTGTGCCTCCACACTGCTTTAAATGAATCTTCTCCAAACAATGTTCAAACAAGCATAGAGAAAGACGGCGTCACAGAAGCACAAAACTAATTTAAAAATGCAAATACAGATTTGACCATAGAGTAGTTTAGTCCACTTGTACCCTAGGGGGAGCTGTGGAGCATTTGCTAGTGTTTAAGGTTTACTGAATGTTTTCTGTCGTAGTTGAGGCTACCTCTTCTTGTTCTTTCTCTCTCTGCTATGTAGTAGCAGGGGTCATTTCTTGGGGGAGCGCACAGGAGCGGAGCTCTGGCAGTAAGGAGCCCAGGGGGTGGGCACATGCAACAAGCCCCACCCCCTGCTCCCAGCAGCCCTCAGTTGGGCCATGAGGAGCAAGAAGCAGCCAGGTAAGCTTGCAGAGCCCCCCCCCCGGCCCGCCTTCAGGTACAAGTTCTCCCTCCTCTGTGAGGGCAGATCTGCGCATCCCCCTCCCATAGCTAGCAATCCAAAACAGTCCAGTGGCACCTTTAAGACCAAGTTTTATTCAGGTACAAGCTCTCCCTCCTCTGTGAGGATAGATCTGCATGTCCCCCCCCCCCAATAGCTAGCAATCCAAAAGAGTCCAGTGGAGCCTGAGTGGTGGGTGTTGCCTTCTGACACACTTCCGGTGAGGTCAGGGGGTGTGGCATATGCAAATAAGTTATGCTAATATGTTACGCTAATGAGCTCCTGCACCTCTTTTTCTACAAAATGACCCCTGTGTAGTAGTATGTGTCAGTGCTTGTGCTCCGTAGGCCTCTCTGTTGCATTACTGGCCTGTAGTGAATTAGTAACTTTCTGCAAAATCCTGTAGCAGTAAACTCAGTGAAAGCAAACTCCAGACCGTGATTTGGATTATTTCTGAGCTCTGCCAACAATATTCAGTATTGAAACAAACACTGGAAGAAGTGTCCACCTGACAGAGAGAGTTTTTAACCCTGTAATAGGGGGGAGTGTTATATGTGCTGTTGGAAAGAAGGGAAACTGAAGCTTGTCTGCAAGATGGCCATTCCTGTGGTGGGGATGAGAGCATGGCACCATGTTTCCCTCCCCAATTAGGGTTGCCAAGTCGACTTACCTTCTAAGTGGGGGGATTCCAGGCTCCGTTGGGAGTCTCCCTGCGTGCGCGCTTTGCACGCTCCTGCCACAACGATGTCACTGGAAGTGACGTCATCGCATCGCTCACGTTGGGGCGGGGCACCGTGACTCGAGGGAAAACCATAGAGTTTTCCCTCGATTCACAGAGTGTCCCCCCCACAACGTGGCCAGCGTGATGATGTCACCTCCGGGTGACATCATCACGCTGGGGACGCCCTCCAGCAAGGGGTGGAGTTCTCCCTGAGGCCCGATCCACCACCGGTGGGTAACGGGCCTCCCGGGTGGGAATTTACCCGCCCCCAGCGGGAGCTTGGCAAGCCTATCCCCAATTGACAGTTTACAATTAAAAAATAAACACAGAATATGCACAAACAGACATACATTTACTTAAAAACGATCTTGACTTTTCCTAGAAGCTCACAGCAGTTTATATCCAGTTCCGCCATAACTGAAATGACATTCGAACAGCTGCCTTCCCCAATTCAAAGAAAATTCCCCCAAATAAACCTGCCCTTACTGGCTTTCCCAAAAACTTGACCGTGAAGATGACCATTTCAGAGATATTGGCAATCCATTGTTCTACTGAAATGGAGCCGTGCTAGACATGACCTTTGAGCAGGGAGCTGAGGGGTGCCCCAGTTACTAAGAAAAAAGAGCTCGTGACAACTGATTTTCAGAGCACAGCTGACATGTTAATGCTGCTACCAGTTTCTATTATATTTTATTTTGTTTTTTACAAAGCCTGGAATCAGGGCTGGTTCATGGTATCAGGTTGACCCAAGCAAAAGTATCCTGCCAAGCTTGCAGCGAGGTCAAAGCCAAAACCCTGTAACAAACTAATGGCATTTTGGCCCCACTAGCTACCCCTAGAGACTGGCCTAGGCTTCCCCATTGCCCAAGCCTGGCAGGGAATTCCCTGCCCCCAGTCCCAATCTCCTGACCTCGAGAAACTGAGGAGTGTGGGAGCAAAACAGACTCCATAATGCTGCTCTAGGAGTTTCCTCTAACTTCTATGGTCTTTATCACAAAGGCTAGGGAGAATTCCTGGAGCATCATCCAGAAATGACATCATATTCTCCCGAAACTCCACCCTATCCAGGCACCACCATGCAACTCTCCGGCATTTGCTTAGGCAATGCTGGAAACCGTAGCAATCTGAGCCTTTGCAGTTCATCAGGACTTTCCTTTATGGGCCACCCCAAACATGGCAGTCATTCCCGTTGTTTGGCCAGAGAATGTTCTTTACAACTGCAGTTAGGGAAAATTTCCATCGTATAGATGTCTTTAAGCATGGAAAACTGTTAAAATGGTTTTATTTTATGTAGTTTATTAGAGCACCGATTTTATTATGTATGTAATATTGTTTTACTGTTTAAAATTTTAAATTCGGCATTGCCACTTGTTAGCCACCCTGAGCTGCTGGGTAGGGCGGGATATAAATCCCAAAATAAATAAATAAATAAATAAATAAAATCAGTCCGCTGTGAGAAAATGCACGGTTTAACACAGGAAGGAAAACCAGCAGCTGCATTGTTGGGAGCAGCAGAGGGAAGGCGTCGTTTGTCATCTTACCTGACCAATCATGACCGAGAAGGCAAAGACCCCTGTGAAGTAATTGAGGAGCTGAAAGATGATCTCAAAGAGAGTGTGGGGGTCCGGCAGCCCTCCAATTGTTATTAAGGTCTTGACAGCCCAGTAGTAACAGCGGAGGTAACTTTAAGGACACAAACAGGCCTACGTATGAATGACGCAACCAAGGATTTATCTGTCCCAGCTCTGACACCCCCAGCACCCAACGTAGAAAGCAGAGGTTGTGCAGAGTACCTGTTTCCTTCCCCATCATAGGCCCATGCGGTCGATCCCAGTCCATTGATGGATGACGCCCAGTAGTACAGGCAAGAGTTTACATGCAAGCTGAAGAGCAAATAGGCTGTGATTCGGATTACTCTGCAAAGAAGGCAAAGAAAGGCTATTACGCAAAGCACAGCAAAATTATTCTAAAATGATGCTGTTAATGTGGGTACTCCTACTTGTGACCAGCGGAAACAGAGGCCAACTATTTCTAATGGATGTGGGAGTGCAAATGCTGCCACTTGGTAGGACGAGTATTTAAAAATATGCCCATTAACATCTGGGACAAGCATGCACTTGACTTTCGCTCCCTCTCACAGTTCCTCTTGGTTATTTAAAAACCTCTCCAGAACCTGCTCGAAGCAGTTCACAGCTAAAACCCTAACCCCAAAGTAAATGGTAACCAAGCCAATAAAATCCCCATTGATAAGTGAACTCAGGAAACTCATCCAAGTTGAACCCCAAAAGGGAATCGATTCGGGTGAGTAGCTGTGTTGGTCTGAAGCAGCAGAACAAAGTTTGAGTCCAGTGGCACCTTTAAGACCAGCAAAGTTTTATTCTGGGTATAAGTTTTCCTGTACATGCACACTTCTTCAGATACACTGAAGCAAACCACCAGCCATTAGATATAGGTAGGAGGGTTAGTTACCAGGAAGGGCTAATTGGAGTCAAGATGCGTAAGCAGGGGTCTTGTTGTAGAAAAAGAGCTGCCGGAGCTCATTAGCATAACTCATTAGCATAACTTATTTGCATATGCCACGCCCCCTGACATCACCGGAAGTGACAGAAGGCCACACCCCCTGACATCACCGGAAGTGTGTCAGAAGGCCCGGCTACTTACCCTCCTGCTTCATCCTCATTCCCAAACGGAATGAGGATCGAAGCAGAGGGCGGGGTAAAGAAGGGGGCGGGGCTTCACCACGTGACCGCCCCGCCCCCTAGAGGTTCTCTTCCGGAGCTCCGTACCTGAGAGCTCCCCCCCGACTAGAGCCCTGTGCGTAAGCAACTGAGAGATAAGTGTAGCTAAAATTCTGAATTACTGGACGGATCCCACAATACCTCAGATAAGGAAAGATTTGATTGTGACTCTCCTAGTAGCTCCTAAAATGGCCATAGCAGCTAAGTGAAAAGAAAAAACTGCCTCTACTGTCTAGGTCTGGTATAGTAAAATCTGGGAGCAATATATTATGGAGAAAATATCGGAAAAGATCACAAAAGCAGAGTGACAACATGACCAATCCAAGTTAATTGAGAAGTGGTTTCCAGTTTTGAACTATATGGGGAATGACACCATCATTTTGAATAATTGGTTACAATTTTAATTAAGTAACTGATAATGCAACAACTAGATGTTAGCTAATGTCTATTGTATCGGTGCAATTTGTGCGCCCTAATGTATATTATATTTTTCAAACTAGTTGGTTCTACTACTGTTGTAACTGCTGCCGGACTAATTTTGTTATAGTTGTATAGGGTTTCCTGTTGGCTGTATTGATGCTTCTTTTGTATGTTTTGAATTTTGAAAATAAAAATTTTAAATTTAAAAAGAATAGCTAAGATTGGATTAAAGCAGTTGGTAAAACCTGTGAATAGCAGCAAATTAGCATACAGTTAATAAAGAGTTAACAAACACATGTGAGAACTGAGTGATTTAGCATGTGTAGTGAGATAAGAACCCAATATCTCTGTTAAGCCCTGGGGGTTCCATTGTCCTGAGTGTTGTAATAACTTGTAATTTAGCAATCTCCCATTCTAGTCTGTTTCTGAAATTTCTTTGCGATAAAGCAGCTACTTTGAGGTCCCCCACTGAATGTCCTGGGAGGCTGAAATGTTCTCGTACAGGTTTCTCAATTTTGTGATTCTTGATGTCAGATTTGTGTCCATTTATCCTTTGGTATAGGGTTTGATCTGTTTGTCCTATGTAAAGAATTGAAGAGCATTTAATGGCATATACAATGTTAGAAGATGAGCAAATGAATGAACCTGAGATGGTGTAGTTGATGTTGTTGGGTCCAGTGATTGTGTTGTCTGGGTGTATGTGGCAGCAAAGTTGAGTTTATTGCAAGATCTGGTACAAGTGTCCATATTCAAATTAGATGTTATATTATTGTGGGTAAGGAGTTGTTTAAGATTGGGGGGCTGTCTGTGGGCAAAAAAAGTTTTGCCCCGCTGGAGGGACTAGGGCCCCTAGGATGCAGGAGACAAATATGACTTGCTGCCCCATCCCATAAATGCTGTGACCAAAATGAGGGTTAGCCACAGTCAAAGCAGCAGGGCTCACCTGTAAACATAAGCCTTGCTCAGAATAGCTTCAAGCCGGTTGTTGAACTCAAAGAAAGCCATATACTGCGAGAAAAAACAGAAGACAGGATCAGAACAGAAGAGAAGCCCTCATTGTCTAGTAGTATCTGTCAGAACCCACAGCCAACAACGAAGTACACGCATTCAGGAACGGTAATACTTTTATTGCAGAGCTATAGATGCAGTAACATAAGCACTGTTAAGAATGGCGGCGGCCCCATGGGCATAATAGGATATAGGGTATTCGTATGCACACACACACCCCACAGCACTGGCCAATTAGGCTCCCTCCCCTGCGCGGGATAAGGCTTAGAGACCATTAGGTAGCTGAAGCTGAGAACCAACGCTCTCCCACAGTACCTAGGGAAATCCCAGACACTACAACACCCTCCTGCACATCTGTAAAGATAAGCGTTTTGGCGCACAGCAGAGAAAATGCAGAAAGGAATGCAGTAGCAATTAACCTGAAAGGAAAGCAATAGCAATTAACCAGACACAGACCAAACTCCCCAACCATCATGGCATCATAGCTGACAGTATCACTGTCAGGGGTCATTTCCTGCAGGAGTGCACAGGAACGGAGCTCCGGCAGTAAAGAGCCCAGGGGGCGGGCACATGCAACAAGCCCCACCCCCTGCTCCCAGCAGCTCTCAGTCAGAGCAAGAAGCAGCCAGGTAAGCTGCAGAGCCACCACCCGGCCCTCCCAGTCCAAAACAGTCCAATGGCACATTTAAGACCAAGTTTTATTCAGGTACAAGCCCTCCTTCCTCTGCGAAGGCAGATCTGCCCGTTCCCCCCCACAATAGCTAGCAATCCAAAACAGTCCAGTGGCGCCTGAGCGGTGGGTGTTGCCTTCTGACACACTTCTAGTGATGTCAGGGGGTGTGGCATATGCAAATAAGTTATGCTAATGAGTTATGCTAATTAGCTCCTGCACCTCTTTTTCTACTAAATGACCCCTGATCACTGTACTACCTGGGCAGCCGCCATTTTAGTAAGGTTTGCTTTCAATCGTTGTTGCAGCAGCTGCTGCTGTGACTGCTGCCGGTGCGAGCAGGAGTGCTCCAGACGATTGGGCTGGGGCTGGGGAGCCCAGAGAAGGTCTCTGCCTTTTCTGGAATCTCCTCGGTTGAGCCCAAATTCATTGAACAACTACTGGTAGCATGACCTGGGCAGCGCCCCACCCTTCAGGCTTACCAACGGGGACTGCGGCAGCAGAAATGAAGAATTTTGGACTTGAGCATCTGATAAACTCCACAGGATCTGGAGTCGCCAGCCAGGAGAGCTCTGAAGAGGTGATAGACACTGGTATGATATTGGAGAGTGGGCTCAAAGGACAAAATCTCATATTTATTTACGGGACCACCTGGCCCAAGGAAGATCATTGGACGTGCCAAGCCCTAGCTACTCAAAACCGGACTGCTACCCACGGACCGATAGTTGACAGCAGATGCTGGCCGCTAACCATGGGGAACTATTAGGTTTAGACTTAATTAATTGGGTTAGGGTATAGAAATTAAAAAATTGCCTGCGTACTTTGTTATCTGTTTGTTATTTCCCCAATTAATTATAGAAGAAGAAGAGAAGAAGAGATTGGATTTATACCCCCGCCCTTCACTACCCAAAGGAGTCTCAGAGCAGCTTACAAACTCCTTTCCCTTCCCCTCTTTACAACAGACACCCTGTGAGGTAGGCAGGGCTGAGAGAGCTCTTGACAGAAACTGCCCTTTTTCAAGAACAGCTGTGCCAGAACTGGTCATCCTGCCAGGTGCAAGTGGAGGAGTGGAGAATCAAACCCGGGTCTCCCAGATTAGAGTCCGCGCACTTAACCACTACACCAAACTGGCTCTCATTGTGGCTCTAATTGTGGATTGATTTGATGAATAAATTGATTATATTAAATGCCCTGTAACTGATGAATGGATTATTTAATTAATTTGGTATTTAAATTTACAAATTAATTAACAAGAGGTCATCTGGTCGCTTAAAGTAAATTTGCCACAGATTTTGTATTAGCTGTCATTTAAATTTAAACTACTGGCTAATCTGATTGGGATATATATATATATATATATATATGTATGTATGTATATATGTATATATGTATCTGTATGGCATTCATAGGCTACTCGATTAAATTGGGAGGGCTACATCAAATTTAGGAGTTAGTGGGAGCCAGTGCCTGCAGTCAAGGACTACTCTGGTTCATCTGACGTCCTAGTTGGTCTGAGACTCCTGGGGAGGGGAAAGTACAGCGGTGGGACTAGGCATGAAGTTAAGGGACCTCTAAAGCACCTCTAAAGGCTGCTTCTATGTAACCAGAACATGAATTTAGGAGACCTTGCCCAATGCTGAAGAAACAGAATAGCATTATCCTATAAGGAAATGGAATGAGACTCCCAATGTTCTTTGTTTCTGAGGAAGGACCAGAAGTCTGAAACACTGGAAATTACCTAGGAAAAGTGTTGGATATTTATCTTGCATATCTTTGGACTCTGTATTTTCCTATTATGGATCTTGTTGGTTTCTGTATTTTCCTATGAGGGATTAGATTCATTTCAGACTATGTATGCATTTCACTTTATTGAAGTTTCCTTTCGTATATTTTTTGCAGCTCGCAGTTGCTTTCTTTTTTTCTTTGCTAAACCTTTTTGATAGCCAATCTCAAAGCGCCATGGAAATGCCTCTGGGATGTGATTCCATGCAGCTCATCATGACTCACCTTTAAGCAGCGAGGCAGACGCAAGAGGGAGTTCACACCAACTTTGAAGTAGAGGAAATCCAGTGGCAGAAGGCAGATGAGGTCCATCTGTAAAGGTACAACAGACACACACCCCACGCCCGTGAACATATCAGTTGCAAATTGTCCATGTAAGTTTGCCATCACAACATTCTTGCAGTTGACAATTATTCTGGTTTGTGATTCTGCTCATTGTGTTACAGCCTCTCAGGTGTCCATGTCGGGTCCCCTCGGTTGCTACGAAGGGAGTGGGTTAGTCAACAGGGAGAGCAGCAGGCCCAAACTATGACCTCTGCTCAACATCACAAACAGCAATTAAACACAACTCCTTAGAGACCAACAATAATGCTAATTCCACCTGACTATGCAGAAAGAAGGCAGATTTTGGCTTTTTGTATTAGGGTTACCAGGTCTTACCCTGGCTGCTGGGGGGGGGGTACAGTCTTGGTACGGGAGTCTTCAGTGGGATGTTCTAGCATTTCGGCAAAAAACTCTATGGTCACCATAAAGTTTTTGCTCAAATGCTAGAGCATCCCCTGCGATGTGCCTGGTGTGATGACATCACCTCTGGGTGGCATCATCACACTGGGCACATTGGGCAGGACAGGGCTCTTTGGGGGCGGGACTCACCACACCAGCCAGCTGGCTGGCGGCAAATTGGCCCCCCCAAAATCAGGGGAAACCCTGCCCCCCTCGGGGGAATGGCAACCTTATTTTGTATCCAGGTTGCAAAGTAACATTTTTTGCCCTGTTTGATAGCACTTTGTTTACCATTTGTTACATATTTTAGAAAGGTTGCTCCTTGCAGCACCTTATGTAGACTCGTCCCTAAACTGATGCAAAGTTCTCCCTTTCTGACTCTAAACAGCTTTACACCCCAAAACTCTTGTTGTTCTCTAAGGTGATACTGGACTCAGACCTGACTGTTCTACTGTAGACGAACAAGGCTACCCTTGGAAATTCCCTTTCTGAGGTAGCTGCATGATCTGAAGCCAGGGCAGGGACTTCACAAATAGCTCATGCCTTTAAGTGGGGTGTGTGGGGGGGTCTCTTTTCAGGCAGTCATTGGTCTGGGGAGGCAAACTAACTCCACAGAGAGTGGCAGGGATGTTTTGAGAGACCTTCCCAGAGGAAAACCCAGGACAGTCCTGTTCGGCTTGGGGTGGAGCTTGGAACTCTAGAAGGAGCTACATCCACTCTGGTTCTCTGCGGATTTCACAGCAAATTTGCTCAAAGTGGCTTCACACTGGAAACAACCTGACCAGCTGCCAATTCCAGAATGGCTTAAAAGCAAAGAGCACAATTTAACACAAAAGCAATATATTTTAGAAAAGAACAACTAACAATAAATAAATAATATGCAACTGATCAAAAGAGAACAGGTAATATAATAATTCAGATAAACTTGAGGTGACATGGATGAAGTTTACTATATTCATGGAAACAGTGGCAGCTTTAAGACCAACAAAGTTTTATTCAAGGTAGGGCTTCCGGTTGGGGGAAAAATGGTGATTTGACGCACCCTGAAAGTGCTCAGGGTGACGGGGGCTCCTGAGAGCAGTTTGGGCAGGTTTATCGGCCCAACGCGACTTCCCCCAGGTAGGGGGGAGACTTGCAAGCATCGAGACCCAATGGGGAGTTGAGGTCGGAGCGATCTGAGGCTCAGAGGAGGCTCGGATCTCTCTTTGATCTCCTTCCACGAAGCGGGCGTTGCAATCAGCACTAGAGGAGCTTACCGGGCTGTAATTACAGCATAAAATTGCCATTCCCGATCTCATCAGCAAGAGGGAAAGGATTGGAAGTAAAAGAAACAGCGCAAAGACCAGTTTAAACAAAGAAGGTAACGGAATTTAATTTTCTTACCGGAGATGACTGATAAAAGCATGAGGAAATAACCGGATAAGAGACTGAAAGCTGTGTGATCGATGGAGTAAACTTGCATGGCTTAAAGTAATCAATTTGAGGCAAAAATCGAGAAAAAAGACGTTTGTTTAACATTCCTGCGGTCAAGTGGTGATAAGAAACAAAGACTTGCTTGTAGAATTGCAAGATCGGAAGGTCGGAAGGCGGAAGTGATGCATTTAAAGCATACAGAGAGGTGCCGAAAAGTGTGGAGAGTCGGCTGGAGACCGGAAGAAAAACAGAAGAACAGCGGGGGACTGAAAAAGAAGACGGACCGGAAAGACCTTACCGGAAGTAGAATTGGGCCCCATTTGAGAAGCGGACAGGAACTACGGCTAAAGGGGACTTCTCTATAACTAAATATCATAGAGTCTAAGCGCCCGACATTTTTAGGAGGACCAAATTTTAAAATGTGTTTTCTGGACTAAAGCAAGGGTGCAGAAGAAATTTAAAGTAGCGATTTGGCTGGGCATTAAAAGATCTATTGAAGGATATAACTCAACAGAAGAAAAAACACACTTAAAAACGGCGGACCGGAAGTGGGCAAAAAAAGCCTATTTCTGCATTGACACTTGGTAGAGACTGAACATTGGCAATAAAAAAATTTAAACTAAAGAGCATATTGAGGAATAAGGAACAGAATACACCACTGAACTACTGTAATAAGGAGTCTATTGGATTTTATAAATGTAAGCGACTGAAAGTGGATCTAAGGCAGAGACAAAGAGCGGCGTCATTTTCCACACCAAGGATGGCGAAAGCTAAGGACAAAGAAATGCAGGCAGCGATGGATGCAATGGAGAAGAGAATGCTAGATGCTATCCAAGATTTGGGGAAACAGATGGAAGTTATTCAAGGTAATGTGGTTACAGTTAAAGAAATGATGATGTCAGAAGTGGCAGAGATTAAAAAAAGATGTAGGAGAAATTAAAAAAGAATTTCAAGCAGTATCACAAAAATGTGCAGAGATAGATCAAAAAATTCAAGAAATGAGTACCAAAATGGAATCAGTGACAAAGGAAAATAAAAGAACAGAAACAATGGGTGAATATAGAGCTACGCAGAATTACCTTCGATTCAGAGGGATTTCAGAACAACTGGATGAAGATATTAGAGACAGAGTTATTATTGCCATTGTGGATTATCTCAAAGAACGGGCTGAGGAAATTGATTATCATTTTGATTTGATCTACAGAGTGAATTCAAGAATTGTGCAACAAAAGAATCTGCCAAGAGATGTAATTGTCCAATTATTGACCAAAAGGATGAAAGAAATTATATTTAGGAAGCAATTTGTGGATCCTTTGGAGATGGATGGGAAGAAGATAATAATAATGAAAGAGCTTCCTAGGGCGATAATGCAAGATAGAAGAAATTTCAAGAGGTTCACAGACGAGCTGAAACAGAAAAAATATAAGATTTAGATGGGAAATACCACAAGGTTTGAGTTTTGAATTTCAAGGCAAGAGGCAGATGATAAAGACAACATCGGATATGCTGAGATTCTTACATGACCATGATAGTGACTTTGGAAATAAATAAGAAGACACAAAATGGAGTACAAATTTATATCTTGGAATGTAAATGGTCTGAATTCACCTAACAAAAGGGAAATTGTAAAACATTGGCTAGAGAAACAAAAATGTAATGTAATTTGTCTACAGGAAACCCACATCAGAAAGCAAGATTCTAAATATTTGGTAGCTAAAAGACTAAGAATTTTATTCACTGACAGATAAAAAAAAGAAAGGGACAGTGATGTATATTAAAAAAGAATATGAACCGAAAGAAGTATTTAAAGATAAAGAAGGAAGGTACATTGCAGTTGAAATGGATATGCAACAAAAAAAGACTTTGATTGTTAACATTTACACACCAAATGGGACTAAAGAAAAGTTTTTTGAGGACTTGATGCAGGAACTGGATCAAGTAACTCATGAACAAATTGTGCTGTTGGGAGACTTTAATGGCACAGTCAATAACAAAATAGACAGATGCACAAAGAAGCCAGATGAAAGAATAGGGAAACTACCAAAATCTTTTTTTGAACTTGTCAAGCAGGAGAAATTGGAAGACGTGTGACAAAAATGGAATCCTACAACCAAAGACTTTACGTTTTATTGAAACAGACATGAGTCCTTTTCGAGAATTGACATGATTTGGGCTACCAAAGAATTGGTGTTAAAAACCAAAAAGGTGGAAATTATGCCAAAAATAAACTCGGATCACAACTCGATTTTATGGATATTGAAAGAAGGAAGGAAGAAACCGAGATGGAGAATAAATGAAGATCTATTAGACATACAAGAGACAATTCAAATTATCAGAAAAGAAACCATACAATTCTTTGAAATAAATAGGACTATGGATATTGACATTCAGACAGTATGGGATGCTTATAAAGCAGTAATGAGGGGTCTATTGATTTCACTGAATAGCAAAGAGAAGAAAATGAAATTGGAACAGCAGAATAAACTTATAGCAAAAATTGGGGAGAAGGAGAAAGAGCTGAAGAAAAGACCGGGAAAAAAGAAAATAATAAAAGAAATTCATTTACTGCAGGAGCAGCTTAATGTGATTTTGAATCAAGAGATCTACTGGAATTTGAAAAAATTGCTACAAAAATCTTTTGAAGGAGCAAATAAGCCGGGAAAATATTTGGCCTGGCAGTTGAAGAAAAGGAGAGAAAACAAAATTATAAATAAGATAGTAGATGAAGGTAAAGACATTGTTGACAGTAATGGAATACGGAGAGCTTTTTAAAAATATTATGCAAAACTATTTAGTAAAAAACGAGTTGAGAAGGAAAAAATACAGAGCTTTCTTGACAAACAAAAAATACCAAAAATGACTGAGGATATGAAGAAAACATTAAACAACCCTATTACAAGGGAAGAGATAGCGAAAGCGATTCAAGACACAAAATTGGGGAAAGCTCCAGGACCAGATGGATTTACCGCAAAATATTATAAGAAATTTAAAGAAGAGCTAATTCCAATGTTTGAACTGCTGGCGAATGAAGTAAGAAAAAAAAAGAAGATTCCAGAGTCATGGAAAGAAGCAACAATCTCACTTATACCAAAAGAGGCACAGGACTTAACAGATGTAAAAAATTATAGACCGATTTCGTTGCTAAACAATGACTACAAAATCTTTACCAGAATTAT